GAAAGACCCAGCTGACTTTCACTTCCATGTTTTCTCACCTCCCCTCAGGTCACACCTGCGCAGTTTGAGCCTGGCATAACAGTTGTAGGAGAAAAATAAAATGGGGCTTTGGGTCCCGCCAAGACAGATCTTTCATTTTACAGATGAAATAGAACCCACAGGGGCGCCTGGGTGGCTCAGTCGTTAAGCGTCTGCCTTCGGCTCAGGTCATGGTCCCGGGGTCCTGGGATCGAGCCCCGCATCGGGCTCCCTGCTCCGCGGGAAGCCTGCTTCTCCCTCTCCCACTCCCTCTGCTTGTGTTCCCTCTTTCGCTGTGTCTCTCTCTGTCAAATAAATAAATAAAATCTTAAAAAAAAAAAAAAAGAAATAGAACCCACAGAGGGAAAGACACTTGTTGGTGACCACACAACTGCAGTCCTGCAAATAGAACTGAAGAGAAAATGGAAAAGAAGAAAATGATGCAAATGACCAAAGACCTCATCTAGAATGTGTTGTTGTTTAACTTATCATTTTAAAATTTAAATTGTTTTAAACCGCAGCATTCACCTGATGAGTTAAAAAAACACCACAATGCCACATGGAACTTACGAATCTCCTTCAGCTTATCATATGCATTTTTTTCTTCCTGTACCATTTTCTTCAACTAGCGTCTTTCCCTCTGGGCTTCTATTTCATCCTTAAAAGGAAGGAGCTGGTCTAGCTAATCTCAAAGCCCATTACTCTTTATAATAAAGCAAAGCCTTCATTTTCATAAACTCAGCCAGGTTAACTGGGCACACATTTACTGGGCATACAAGTGGGTAAGATCCTCTTGCGGCTACAGTCCATTTGGCAGTCAGATGTCTCTGTAACTGGGCCCCTGGCAGGCTCAGTCTAAAGGCAGCCTAGCCTAGGTCCCTTGGATTCATGTATCTGGTTGTAATGTTAGAGAACATTAACCATGAACAAAAATTACCTTGAGAATAATTGCAAGTTAATTAACCTTGCAATTTTATTTTAAAAACAAAAACTCAGGGGGCGCCTGGGTGGGTCACTTGTTAAGTGTCTGCCTTCGGCTCAGATCATGATCCCAGGGTCCTGGGATCCAGCCCCATATGGGGCTCCCTGCTCAGTGGGGAGCCTGCTTCTCCCTCTACCACTCCCCCTCTTGTGTTCCCTCTCTCACTGTCTTCTCTCTATATATATCAAATAAATAAAAATCTTTAATTAAAAAAAAAAACTCAGAGGGGCACCTGGGTGACTCAGTTGGTTAAATGTCCTACGCTTGATTTCGGCTCAGGTCATGATCTCAGGGTCGTGAGATTGAGCCCGGCAACCGGCTGCACCCGGGACATAGAGTCTGCTTAAGATTCTCTCTCTCCCTCTCCCTCTGCCCCTCCCCCTACCTCACCCCCACCTTAAAAAAAAAAAACAAACTCAGAGACACAGTTTATCAAAAAAGTATGATGTGAGAATAATCTTATTTTAATTTCCAGTCCCTCATTCTTTCTCAGCCCTCCTTCCATATCCTGTCTTTGGCTCATTTTGTCCACTTCTTGGTTTCTAAGCTGAGTCCCCTGTGTTTGGCTGGAAAAGCCCTCAGATGCCATTTGCATCTCAGAGTGTCTGGTAGGATCAGTCTTCCCACACAGCTAACCACATCCCAGTCACTGAACACCCTTGTCTGATAACAGAGGTATCTGGGGAAAAACTTCCTGGAATAGACATTTTTCATGATTCCAAGCTCATGAGGAAAGAGTGGGGCCAGGCCACAGTGCCAGGGCAAAGATGGGATGCTAGGATGCACCTGGGGCTCCACTTAGAAACGACGAGAGTTGATAAACAAGGGGTCAAGTGACTGGCCGAGCAAGGTGGCTGAACCAGAAGCTAAAGTGAGGTCTTCCGATGCCTGGCCCTTGTGACCCTTGCAGGGACTACATTGCCCTTGAAGTGACACCACTCGGGTCTAGCCTGAGTCGCCACAGCGGGGATGGAGAAGGAGTCTATGGGGCCCTTCAGTTCAGTCCAGGAGAACAGGAGACCACCAGGGAGTTTTTGTGAGGATATCCAGGGCAGCAGGAGCTCAGAAAACATAGGTGTTAGGTGAAATTTCTGGGGGACTTGTAGAGGCTTCAAGCTTGACTTGAGGGTAGTTGGCAGGGTCAGTAATGGTTCGGAAACTGCCAAATTCATGTTCTCCTTGTTATGCAGAGGACTTTTCAGGAGTAGAGGGTCCTAGTGGCCAGCAGGTGGCGCTAGAGCCCAGGGCTCCGCGGACCGACGCCTGGAAGTTCTAAACTGTAGCAGGTGTTGGTCTGATGTGAGGGGAGGACCCTGGCGCTGAGAACTCGCTTCCCCTCGTGTACAGCTCGAAGCTCGGCCTCAGATCTAGCAGTGGATGACTGAAGCTACGCAGCCTCCACTCAGCGGCTCAGTCGTGTCCTCGTGGCCTAAGAGTGCATGGAAGACGGGACCCGAGTTCCCTGTTGGTCCAGTAATCTCTGGTTCTCTGGCTGAACAGAGTCGGATCTGGGCGAGTACCTGCGTCAGGTCCCATTTTTTCTCACGAATTCTCGTGGAAACCAGGGGGTGGAACATTTTTATGAACGTTTTAAGGGACTGGAACTCGGATATTCCTGTGTTGTGGGGAAGGCCCCAGCCAGAAGGCTTGGACCAACGGCGGGCCAAGTGAAGAATTGAAGGTCAAATCCAAGTGGATATTAAGGATAGAGCAGATAAATGTAAGGCATCTGGCATTAGCGACGGGTCTTTTCGCCTCTGCCCTAGCTGGGACAAAATCCCGCTGAAGAGTGCATCATCCGTTTCCCCAGCAGAGGGGCGGCCTCCTGCCCACCGTGTCGCGGGCTGTGAAGAGGCTTTGGAGCACAACTCGGGCACCTGGTGGTCCCCGCCGATCCTCCTGGGCCAGGACCTCAACTGGACCTGTGAGATGGTCTTTTCAGCTGCAGTACTCCCAAGTCCGGAGAAGACGCCGAGGTAGTTGTCATGGAGACAGGAGGGCGCAGAGAAGAATGTGCTCCCAGCTCTTGATTGGCTGGGAGGCTGGTTAGCGCCACGCCCCACGCTCGCGGCGTAGCCATCAACCCCCAGGTGTAGACTGCCCTCGGAAAAACCCGCCTCCCACCTCTCTTGGCCCTGTGGCCGGACGACATCGGCCGACCAGGATACCTGACCTTCAGCGGCAGAGCCGGTCAGGTAGGGCGGGCACTTCTCCTGAGAGGAGACTGCCGCTCCCCTCTCAGTGCCCTTGGCCCTCCCGCCCAGAACATGGTCCCTGAACGGAAAGAAGGGGACAATGAAAAGCAAAACTCAACTTTGCCTCATTTGGCAAAAGTCTTACAGGTGAAAGCTACCTACCACTCTTAAGTTGTCATTTTTGCTTCGTTTTTGCCCTCTGTGTATTCCTTACCAATTTTCCAGTGCATCAGTGCATTTTAAAAGGTTTTAAAACGATTCCATCCAGCATTAAAGTTGCTTAGCCACCCCGGCAGAAACGTAAGTGCATTTGTGAGTTCCTTAGAGGAAACCCACCAATACCTGACTTGGGAGATCTGGCTTCACTTCAACCTCTTCCAACTTCGTCAGCTCCTTCTCACACCCAGTTAGTTCCACAGCCCGTAATGTTGTGAGCTGCACCCCTCACCCACCGGGAGCTAAGCACAATTGTTTTCTAGCGTATCCACTTACTACACAATGAGAATTCAGGCTGCTCTCCCTACATACAGCCTGTTCTCTAATTCCCTTTCCCTTTCTCTGGAACGCATTGGGGGTAATTTATGTAGCCTCCCCTTTTCCTGGGTGTTCTCAATGTTTGAGAGGTTTTCTTTCTCACATTCATTTTTGGGAGTGGGGGGTGGAACACTGCAATTCCCCCCTAGGCAGAGGGCTTGCCATTCTGAGGAATTCTTTTCTTTCCCATTCTAGTTTCTATCTATCTATCTATCTATCTATCTATCTATCTATCTATCTATCTATTTATTTGAGAGAGAGAATGAGAGAGAGAGAGCAGGAGAGGGGGTAGGGTCAGAGGGAGAAGCAGACTCCCCGCAGAGCAGGGAGCCCGATGCGGGACTCGATCCCCGGACTCCAGGATCATGACCTGAGCCGAAGGCAGTCGCTTAACCAACTGAGCCACCCAGGCGCTCCCCCATTCTAGTTTCTTTATAGAGCCTTTGAAAGAGGGGTGGTGTCGAGGCAACGGTTAATAGCAACAGGGCAAATTCAGCACCCGGCTACCCTTTTGTAAGACCTGAGAGTGTCTAGCCCCAAATGCTTTGTCTTTCTTTAGAATGCGAAAGAACTTAAATCCTCATCTGAGTCCCGGTTACCAATTTTGGGACAACAGGAAAAGATTCTCTTATTCTCTTGGAGTAATAAGTGCCTCAAGTATCTTAGTCGCAGTAGGCGTGGTCTGGGGAATTAGTGTCCAAACCTTCGGTAGTGACCCATGGGTGAACATGGCATAGGAGAGGCAACGGAAATAACATCTTGTGATGAAGATGCGACGCTGCCCCACTCCCTTCACTATGCTATTCCTGTAGCTGCAGTCAGTACCTGAAACATATCTTGTTGATATGTTTACGTTTTTATTGTTGGCCTCGTCCACAGCAGTGCACACTAGCTCCCCGAAGTAGGGTCTTTCCTTTCCCATCTGCCGCTGAATCCCGCCCCTAGCACAGAAGAGGTGCTCAGTGCCTATTATTGGAATAAATGGACGCACGAGTATCCAAGCCACACCGCGGACCCCGCTGCAGCTCCCCAGGGTGGCGCAGCGACCTCCCAGGCTGCCTCTACGGGACCCACACGCGGGGGCCTCTGGGAAGTGTAGTCAGCCACCGCCCGGAGTTGCGGGACCGAGGCTCCGCGTGCGCAGGCGCACTTCCGGCTCTGCCCC